ATCCAAACATCCTGTATATTTTGTTATTTCTACATTTCTAACCCCCAATTGCATAATGTCAGTCTTCTTAGTTATTATAATGCTACTTTGTTCGAGTTTTATCCATCCCCCCCGTTTGTTACGTCATTTTAATTCCTAATTGTAATTTTTATTAATTTGACCCCTAACCAGAAATTATTCTGGAACTTTCCTATCCATTTGATATAAATACACGAATGTACAGCCTAGATGATGACTTCGTCGAAAAGAAAATTTTCTTCGCTGCAATTGTCTTTTTATTAAGTCTGAAGTCATTATTATTATTCCCTTGAGTTCCGAGTGGAACATAGGGCTTCAACAACACTTCCTTCTGTTTTCTACCATCCTCTTTAGCTTGGTCTACGGTTGACCAAACTCACTCATCTCTTCCTCACACGATCTCCTTCATGTCGCCATAGCACCAACAGCCCCCTCTTCGCTTCCCGTTGGGATTTCACTCGAGCAATGGCCTGGCGTGCGATGTCATTTGGTGGCCTCCTCAGTGTATGCCCAATCAATCCATCTGTATTTTCTCTTAAATATTTGTTGAGCAATAGGCTGTCACCCCTTGGTTTGTTCCCATAGTTTTTTGTTGCCTATTCTTTCTAGCTGGCCATTTGATCTTCAGTATGGAGCCAACGAAGTGGGTGGCTGTTGATGAAAGTCTGCAAACTGTTGGGAATCCTTTTCAGGACACGCTAGCCAAGTTTCTGACCAGTATAGAAGAACCTACTTCACATTGGTGTTGAAAATGCGAACCTTGTTCCTTATTCTGAGTGTGTCAGATTTCCAAACTGGTTTCAGGTTGGTTGATGAAGGTGTACCTTATCTTTCCGATTCTGGCTTTGACAACTTCGTCCTTTCCGCCTGTAGTTGAAATGATGCTTCCCAGAAAAGAGAAGGGAAGGATCTGCAGCAAAGACATCTGTCGATACAAGTCTGAAGCAGCCCTGTCAAATACTTTTGGAGAGATGCACGCCACAAGTATCTTAACCATACAGAAGAAGTGACCCGACACTGATTTTGGAAATCTGTTTTTTCTACTTTATGCTGATTGAAGCAGATTTCCAAACTTTATTGAGGAGTGATGAAGATCCACATAGCCTTTTCGATTCTGGATTTGACATCCTCATTCGCGCTGTCGCCTATAGTTAAAACGATGCTTGCTAGATAAGTGAGGGAAATGACCTACTTCAAATTTCTTCTGTTGATAATGACTGGTGCTTACTGGTGTTGATTGTTTATTTTCATCACCTCTGTATTCACTATCTTTCCCTAAAGTCTTGTCTTTTCTGCTTGCTTCTGCTACAAACTTGTTAATTTCCACTTGTATTATTAATTATTGATTGTTTTCCTTTTATGGTGAGAGCTGTCTGCTAGCCGAAATCGGTAGACACCAATTTAGGTCAGTGTTTACGTCCCAAATCTTGGTTGCGAGAAAAACCAAGAACAAAGCCTAACCTTGAGGAACTCAACAACCAATCACAGCAGACTTAGCGTGGGCAGATGTGATTCGCAGATATATCACTTGACTGTCTCGGAAACGGCAGCAAAGAGATGACAGAATAACCTCCAGTAGGAAAACAACCAAACAGAAGACGTTGTTCCTCTGCTGACAATAACACTAATAGTGTACATAAAAATCTATAAAAATCTATCGATTTTCTCAATAAATGATTGGTTGCCTGGCTCTTGTCTTCTGTCGTTAAACTTTGAGTTCCATGTGGAACATAAGGGTTTCAAGCTTTTGAGCTCTGAATTTTTAGTAGCAATTATTTAATATAAGAATAAAACTTGGGCACTGTGGTAGAGTGTAATTACATTATGGGTAAATTTTTATTTTGATAGAGTCTCACAGTGTTATACAGTAATATTTACTGATGACGTTTCGAGCACAATTTATTGCTCATAATCATATCAAGGTAATCACACGACTTCCTAAATTCATTTATACAGTTCCATTGTTTTTCACTTGATTTTCACTTGATTTGATTTGTAGTATTATTTTCCATATTTCAGGTATGAGTGATGATTCATTCCTATTGCATGTGTTGGGTGTAGATTCGATGAACAAAGATTCAGTAATCAACCTCTCTCTCCACCCACCTAGATTACTTTTTAGAATTTTTTAACAGAGCTTGTCCCTCACTCAGGGACAAGCTCTGTAGGTTAAAGGACCCAGTGGACCCAATTAGACAAAATAATATAATTTACAAAATACCTTACAATGACTGTGAGGTCAACTACATAGGTCAAACTAGTAGGTCAGGAATAGTCAGATTGTCAGAACATAAGAATTTAGCTAAGGTAAGAATGGTTGACCCAGAGAAGATAAGTAATTTAGAAAAAAGCTCGGCAATTGCAATGCATGCATTAACACACAACCACACAATAGGGTGGGAGAGGGTTAAAATTCTAAAAAGTAATCTAGGTAGGTGGAGAGAGAGGTTGATTACTGAATCTTTGTTCATCGAATCTACACCCAACACATGCAATAGGAATGAATCATCACTCATACCTGAAATATGGAAAATAATACTACAAATCAAATCAAGTGAAAATCAAGTGAAAAACAATGGAACTGTATAAATGAATTTAGGAAGTCGTGTGATTACCTTGATATGATTATGAGCAATAAATTGTGCTCGAAACGTCATCAGTAAATATTACTGTATAACACTGTGAGACTCTATCAAAATAAAAATTTACCCATAATGCAATTATTTAATTTTTACAGGAGTGGGGTTGCTAGTCTCACGCCTGACCCTCTCTCTTTAGTGCGTCTACTACCAGCTGAACAAGGATGAGGAATACGTAGGCCGAGGATCCAAACCCGGACCTTAAGCATGGTTGACGAGCATTCTACCGCTCCAACACCTACGCTCTACCTATAAGCCTTCGAATTAGTGTAACATTAGGCATAAATCGTCTGCGAAGCCCATATCTTCCAAAGTTTTCCTATCAGTCCAAAGTTCTCCAGGCTTTTCGTTCCACAAAGCCCAAATTTCGTCTGCGTTAATGTAACTGATAAGATTTAGCTTGTAGTTAATAAGTGTAGTCATTGCAGGCACACAGAAAATCAGTGGTAGCTAGAATAGTTTAATAATGGTTACCTGTCTGACTTCAGCACTTGGAATCTCTGGGCAGCAAAATCAACCCCATAATAGTTGCATATGCATATTTTGATTCGGATCTTCCAGTAACTGTAATACATTTCTACATTAAATTATTTCCATCTATAAAAGTGTCATATACTAATAAAGAAAGTGTTAATTTCCCTTGTTATATTCTGACACCAACCAACATTAATTAGAGAACCACTGGAAACCAGGGAATCCTGAACCGCTGTCTCGACTTATTTTGAAACTCCACTGAAGGGAGCGTCCACCACTTCACCAGAGATAGAACCTGAGATCTTCAGGTTACAAGCCGAAGCTCGTTGACCATTCAGTCACTAATGCCAGATCTCAGTGACCCATGAATTATAATTTTATCAAATCTAACAGTTGCAATTAAATAAATCCAAAGCTGAATATCAATCTCCAGCTCATTAATGACTCCTGGATCATTATTGTGAAGCTGCAGTGAGAGGGCATAACTAGTGGGGTCCACCATATCAATGTGAAGCAGATTCTCATCGAAGGCACTAGTTAAGGGTAGCACTTTATGACGTATTTACAAAGTTAGAGTTCACGGATCATTGAATGCCTTCCTAGGTGGCTAAATTATCCACGAGCTTTGTCGCATAACCCGAAAGTCTCGAGTTCTATGCCTGGTGGGGTCGCTGGTGGACAATGATGAAGATTCCGAAACTATGAGGGTGAAACAGCTGTGCAGTGCTTCCTAGGGGAAGGCGGTTCAGGGATCTCCTTCTGATTGATATTGGTTCGTGTCGAGGTCTAACAAATCAAAATAAATAATCCAAATATCTACAAGTTCCACCCTCTTAAAAAATTTCATGATTAGTATTCTAACTTAATTTTAGCCTTTTCTGGCGTACGTTATTTGTCAGTAAAAGGGGATAGGCAGAATTTTGTAAGATTCAAAGATGGATTTTGTTGCGAAGCACTTGGAAACAAATCATTAACAATTTAGAGATTCTCTAAAAACTTGTTTCATCTGAAGTAACTATTAGATTAACTGGATTTCAGCAAGTAAACTGTTATGAATCTCTCATATATTTTGTATGTAGTGAAGTGTTTCAAAAATCTCAAGTACACCTTAATTTTAAAGAGAGGTAAGTCATTGAGTAGGTGAAATATGACGCCAGGGAGCATAGAAAATTGATATCAAACGTGAGGTTACTTAAATACAAACAAAAAAACAAATCCTGTGAGGAATAACGTCAGTCAGCTGTCTCAACACCATATCAATTAAAATGTATATTAGATAGTGTAGGTAGATTCAAAGTTCAGTCCCCAGGTGAACGAAGGTTGGACATGATGCTAGTAAGCCTACCCCATAAGAAGCAACCTAACCACCACCAGTAAACCTTTATAGCTCAGTACCTCCAGTACTTCAGGCTTAAAGCTCCTTGTTCCTCTCCAAATTCAAAATAATGAAAAATAATGTGATCAAACTGTAGTATAAACCCGTCGAAGGAAATAGACCAAGTTTGCATTATGTTTCTTCATGTCTGCTGAACTCAATAAATCACCAACTAGTAGAAGTTGGAATTCATGCGCCACTGGATCTGGTCTCAGTGGCTGAATGGCTTACAAGCTTGTCTTTTGACCAGAAGGTCCTGGGTCTGAATCCCAGTAGTGAGCGCGTATTGCTGAAGAGTCGCAAACTGGGACGAAACAGCTGTCCAGTACTCCCAGTTGGTTTTCCAGTGGTCCTCCAACCGATCTCAGCTCGTGATCACACTTCAAACAAATCAGAGCTTTTCTCATGTAAACATCATGGCTTTCTAATGTAAATCATATGCATAGAAAGTATAAAATAGTAAAAAATTATAGTTTTATTTCACTTCAACTCACTTCTTCTATAAAATGTTCAGCTGTATCATGAATTCTTTGTTCTATTCTATTGACTATATCCGCCGCCTCACGTATATCGTGTATTTGCGACTGAACTTTACCAATTCGTTGACAGGTGACATCTAAATTCCGTGATAATTCATGGCGTAATTTTGTAACAGCTTCACCGAAACTTGTTACTTCATGTTCACGATGTGTATTAAACGTGCACAATACACATATACACAGTGAACATGCATCACAATAGAATCGAACAGTTTCACCAGGATGATCTTTACACTCAATTTCACTATGTGATTGTAATTCAAATGTTGAATGATCTTTAGTGACTTTTGTATTTCTATGCCGTTGAACACATTCATCACAAAGCAGTTTATTACAATCTAGACATTTTGAAGTTGCTTTCGGTGAATGACTTAAATTGGCTGAACTAGCACGTTGTTGATTAACACTGTTATAACCATTAGCAGTAGTAGTATTATTAGTTGTGGCGCTGTTATTCCCATTGATTTCTGATGAATTAATCTTATTCAACGGTTCACTTGAATGACCCCTATCACCACGACTTACTTGTGAGCATATCTCACATTCACCATAACGTAATGGCTTTCTTTCTAAACTGGGTAATTGATGTAACGAATCGACACTTTCATTCACATTACTAGATACCTGGCGATTATCAGCGGAAGTATTATTCCTAGGTGTAGTTGGACTACCAATAATTGTAGCCGTTGACGAACCATTCGATGAAGCTCTTTGTCTCAGAACTAAATCAGTTAATCCAGAGATAAGAAAATTATCAGGTAGACGTTTAACTCCACCCAACGGTAATTGTGTACGTTTACGGCATAATGGACATGTAAAGTCACGATAATCTGTGTACTTGTTGTAGGTGACTTCAGCAGAGATATGCTTTTCAATGCATTTAGCACAGAATGTATGCAAACATGCTAGACATTTTGGATTTGTATAACTATCGAAGCATATTTTACAAACTAAAAACTCGTCATGTATTTCTTGAGCTAATCGACCAGCTACTGTGCCTAAGAATGGATCATTCGCCAAACGAGTTGTATCAATTCTTGGCAGATTCTCATTCAATGCAGCATCATCTTCACATTGTTTTGTTGTAGGTGTTGTTTTCTCTACACCGTTTTCAGCATCATCATGATGAACTGTAGGAGAAAAATGGAGGAGGGGAAAGAAAAAGTAACATGTATAAGAGACTTATAGAAATATATCATAGTAATAGCTTTAATCTTAACAGTGTTCATCATACAATGTACAGAATTTTCAGCGATATTTATCGCATAGTGCTATCTGACCTGAAGCATAAACCAAACCATAATAGTATCTCTTCTTCGGCCACTTCGAGAAATGTACGACGCTCGGTTGAATGTCAGTTATAAAACTGTTCAGGAGTACATTTTGAGAACTAAGGTCACTAGTGAGAAACAGTCATCTCATGTTTTGGGATACCTTACCACTCAGGATTATGAATTTTTTATTTATTTATTAGAAACCTGTGAATCAGCAGGCTGTAAAACTTTTAAATACTTACAAGAGGGAATAATACGATAAAAACAAGCTCAAAAGGAGAATTTATACGCAACATATTGATAGGGGTTTTTGGCAGCCTAAGTTTTAACCAGGCCACCTGCTTTTTCAAACTTGTTTGATTTGAAGGGGTAAATAATTCCTTAAAAATTACTAAACTACAGCACTGGATGCCAAACTTCACTGTTTAAGTCGACTTGGAAAACCGAACGTTCGCAGGGAAACATTCATCTGTCTGTTTGTCTGGTTTCAACATAGAACTTTGCACCGATGTGCAGCATTTCGAGTCGCCACACTTAACTCAGCATACAAAACCACAGAAGAAATTAAAAAGAAACGCAAAATAGAGACAGTAAACAGAGATATGAGGCAAAGAGAATAGTAATATCGAAGAACAATATTGTTTTATTGGAAATTGTTAGTCACAAGGAGTGGATGCATCTACTCCATTGAGAACGATTGTCTCCAGCCATTGGTGTCTATCGTCTCAAGGACCCCAACCAGGAAGACTACACCTTCCTACGTGGCTTAAGCTAACTATTGTAGATTTCAATGACTGATGAAGTCATATTTTCGTTTGACCACCACTGGCTCCTTTCCAGCCTGACCCTAAGTCAGCTAACATTGCCCACTGTCGAGGAAGACGATGGCTAGGCATGCGTAACACAGTTCTAACCATCTCAGTCAATGTAATTTCACCACCTAGTCTATTGATTTCCCCTCCCTCCTTACCTAACACTCTACCGAAGCCTAACCTCAATATTGCTGACCTTATTATATCATCACCCCACACGGGAGATAGAACGCGAGCACCTATGATCAAAGACAGATAGCTGGCTTTTTCATGCCTTCCACTTTCAATGGCCAGGTCGCAATCACGGCCATAGAGGAGGATGGAGCGGACGGCTGAGCAGTACATCCACCCTTTAGTCGATAGCCGGATATGACGTCAGTGCCAGAGACGGCGTGAACTGGCATATACGAAACTAGCCTTCTGTATCTGGCAATCAACCCGTTGTGGCTAAAGCAACTTCCTAAATAAGTAAAGTGGTCAACATGCCCCACCAACCACTTCACTCCCTAATTCTAAGCTAGGAGTTAGTGTAGTCCAGTCCTGTAGCATCAACTGACATTTGGCGAGAGCGAATTGCATGCCAAACATTCGCAGATTGCAACTTAAGGTGTTAAGAAGACTGCATTATGCAGCGTCTTCACTAGAAGGACCACATCATCTGCATATTCTAACTCAACGAGATTATTCCCTGATGGTAACAAGTCAATCCCTAAGTCTCTGAATTGAGTTACGGTTAAGTCCATTAGTATATCTATGGTGAAGTTGAATAGAAATGGGGACAGTGGGCATCCCTGTTGGACATCACTAGTTGTCACCACTCCAGATGACAAGTCACCGTAAGCACTCATCCATACCATTCGGCACACTGTCATGTTGTGTCCAGTCTTTCGTACACAATTCCTAGCTAGCTAGGCGATCATCACTGGACCAAGAATCTCATTCCGAATTACATCTCGTATTCTGCACAGTCAGTTTGTCGTTTTGATTTAATAATAATTATTACGGTCGCCCTTATTTAAAAACAGTGCTTATGATACAGTGTGGAATTCTCACTATTGAGTACAATAATGCATCTAATTTACTCAATAACAATAAATAACATTACAGAGTATACGTAACCAAAATTGATAATAGCAACATATTGGTGTTAGATGTGACAATAAAGATAAGACATCTGAATCAGTGTCACCATAAATTATAAACAGAAGATAAAAGAGCCAATTGTTATGCTAATACACTGTAGATCATAAGTTTCACGCTTAACATTGTCTCTATCATACAGAACATGGGATGGCCAAATACTGTATTTCTGAGTTCCTCTACTTGATTGTGCAAGTGTATAATCTTTTATAGTGACTTCTAGTCCTCCTACCTAATGAGATGGAAATGGAGAGTCGTGAATAGAGAGAGTGTTGAGAGAATCAGACAATATGGATTTAGACCATTTCTCACATGAGTTTTCAGGTGTCTGTCGACTACAATAGTAACGAGCCAACTTAGTAGTGGCACACTACTTGCCCTAATGACAATCGTCAACACCCTTCACAATATGACATAGTTCCCTTTGTGGAACCCAGGACAGACTAAGAGGGAGCAATGGAGTACGACAGATAAAACTCAAGAGTTAACAAACTGTAAAGGTATTGGATGAACGATAGCTACCTGATTGTCTTAGCTCTTTAATGTAGAAGGTCAGGTGGAACATTTTCCTAGAAATCGGAAAGACACGGGATGACCAAGAAAGGTTAGAGGAAGGAACTATTTTATTTTAATGTTTGACTTAATTTCCATTTCAATGCCCCCTATGCTACAAGCACCAAGTGAGCGAATAATATCGTATTGATCATATTTATACTTGAAGGTGAATTTAACTGCCTGGCATTTGGAGGGATTTAACGTGAACCCACTTAACTTAGACCACTGTTTTATGTCCAACAGTAAGCTACTCAGTTTAGAACAGTCAGGACAAGATGTAACTGGCAACCACACAGTTCAGATCATCAGCATATTCAACAATGTTTATGTCTCCCATCTAAGCAGAACAGGTACTTTGGGAGTTGCGGAATCAAAAATTCCGTTTATATTACAGCTCATCTTGAGTAAACGTCGACATTTTTTCATTTCCTAAAGGTTCTATGTACCCAATAATAAAATTTAAAAGGACTGAGTTTAGTAAACGAAGGATATTCTTTTCGATAATTGAACTGAGGAAATATCAGTGACAGTGGTAGGCTGGGACAGATGGATTTTAAGCACGATTCATTTTTAACGTCAAACTGTGTGAACTTGTTTCACGCTATGAAATTATGCACGAATTTATACATAAGAGGGCAAGTTTAAACGTTGTTCTGATTGATCCAACGCCTGCTTTTTGAAACGATGCTGGGAGACGTATGAAAAAGTGACCACATAATGACCTATATACATTAGATCAATAACAACTGTACACAAAAATTCCAACAGTACAATTTGTCACACTTCATCAAAATAAGAAAAAAACAGAGAAATTCAGAGGTACCATAATAATAATGCCGCTTGTCACGTGATCCACAACGGAAAACTCAGCAAGGCGTTCGAAATACATACAGGGGTAAGACTAGACAGCCTATTTCTAATCGTGGTGGACTGGATTACACGGAAGAATGTGCTTGGGAGCAAGAAGACAGGATCACGTTGGACCACTGATAAGAAGACTCTAGATGATCTGGACTTCGTGTTAATTTGTGTCTATTATCACACAAACTCGAAGACTTACATGCGAAAAGCAACAAACTATTCGAAGAAGCAGTGAAAACAGGACCTCATGTGAACACAAAGAAGATCGAGGTGATGAAGATAACAAACCAACAGCAACAGCAACCAGCATTAACCACCATCAACGGGAGACATTTGAATGAGGTTACTTCCTTCACTTATCTAGGCAGCATTGTTTCAACTACAGGCAGTCGGATAGCACGGGTGAAGATGTCAAAACCAGCCAACCAGAATCGAAAGAGCAAGATACGCTTTCATCAACCTGAAACCAGTTTGGGAATCTTCTGCAATCCACCTCAGCATAAATTACAAGATTCGAATTTTCAACACAAATGTGAAATTAGTCAATTAGCCAGTTCTTTTATACGGGTCAGAAACTTGCACTAAGTGTCCCGGAAAGGATTTCTGACAATTTACAGACTTTTATCAACAGCTACCACCTTCTCTTGCTCCATAGTGAAGATCGGTCAGAAAGAATTAGCAACAAGAAACTCTCTGAGGCTTACTGGCTGGCTAATTGCTCGACAAATATGTAGAAGAAAACAGAGATGGATGCGGCATACACTGAGAAAGCAGTCGAATGATATCGCGCTCAATACAGGCCATCACTCGAGTGGAATCAGAAAGGGATGTAACAAGTGGGTCATCAGAAGGTGACATGGAGGATATCGTGTGGAGAGGAGGAGATGAGAGATTATGATCAATCGTAGGGCCATTTGAAGAAGAATGCAGAGGTTAGAACAAAGAGGAGATATGTTTTTGAAGCCCTATTTTTCACTTGAAACCCAAAGGAATAATAATAAACCAGAATTTATGATAGTAAGATTAATAACACGGAGAATTATAAGAAATTAATGAATCCGAAAGATCATCAAAAGTCAACCCATTTGGCATATCATTAACAGTCTTCAACCAAGTGGTCTTTAGATTATCAAGCATCCTGACCTGATAGTCTTCACCCTCATTTGTGACTGCAAACCAGTAGTTAAAAATCTTATGGATTAACGTCATGTTTCAGTTTGATTCTTCCCACCTCCCCCTGATTCTTATCCAATCCAGTCCTGCTTTCAAGCGATGATTTGCAGAGATTTAGCTGATTTCAGTTCTGACCATGAACTGACTTCATTTAAAGAACCACTGGAAAGGAGGGAGTACTGGAAAGCCTCCTCATCTCAGTTTGAGACTCTTCAGTGACGGACACACTATACCTTCTGTTTATGAAGCGAAAACCATTTACTATTCATCCACTGAAGCAGGAATCCAATGTACCATCAGTTATAATTTCTGCTA